CACCCTCAGCAAAGAACTCAAAGTCAGACAAACCATCTTCACTTTCACTATCAGTACTTGCATCATAATCAGGATCAGTTTCACTCTCAAGCTCATCTCTCTCTGAGTTATCCTCATTATCAGCCTCTGTGATTTCTGGATCAATTTCTACGGTGTCGACATCTAGAAATAAATCAATCTCATGCACACATGCAGAAGCATACAATCTAAACATTTCCATCACAACAATATCACTCACTATCAAGCAGCTTCAATTCAACTTCAGCAGGCATTATAAACCAAACAACAGTAGTTGCAGGGTATCCCATTTCTTTAACTAAGTCAATTATCTCGAAATATGACATCAAATCTGGGTCAACATCTTTAACAATGTGTACCTTGCCTCTGATATACCTACCCCCTTCACCACCAAAACTCCCCCCGTAGTTAATCCTAAGTGTATACAGCTGATCACCCAACATGTTTTCCTAAATAAAAGAAAAAATAATCAATTAATCAAATGCACATAAGTTGCACAAACAAAAAAAACCCCAATATTAAATCTCATTACCAAAAGAAAGCAAAACCCCATGAAAAGTCACAATATTTATGAAAATTGCTCTGGAAAATAGTAAATTACCAACAAAAAATCCAAAAAATAAATCTTAAGACCAAATCAAATTAATTCCCCAAAAAATCGAAAAAGATTTTTGCAAAACCCTAATTTTCTCAGAATACCAATTTAACATCGAAATGGACAAAATAAACCCCAATTTAACATCGAAATGGACAAAATAAACACCATAAACACAAGAAATTTGTTTTTAAAACAAACCCATTACATAACTACGAAAAAAAGAGGTGGAATTGAAAGCCCTAAAAGCAACACTAACCTTTGTCTCTCTTTAGATTTCTTGATTTTTGCCTCCAAATTTCTTCAGACGTCTTCAGACATCAACGCTTTCAGATGATTCGAACCATGGAAGAATTTGAGCAAAGAAATCAGATTTTGGGAGAATTTCGATCTTACGTTCTTGGAGTGAAGGAGAAACGTTTTTTTGTCTAAGTGACAGGAATGATAAGTCTGCACACAATACAGACCATGTTAGAGTTACAAGGGTACATAAGTAATTACACTCTTAAATTAACGGTGTTAATTTTCTAACGTTTGATCAAAAAACGGAGGGGCCATTTTGTCACGTTTTGTAGTCCAGGGGGGGTGTTTGCGACAGACCCCATAGTTCAGGGGTGCAAACTGTAGTTTCCCCTAAGGTATATAATATAGGGGCCAAAACTGTAATTATCCCAAATTTATTATAAATAATATAATGAATTAAAGTTTTCTTACAAAATTCGTAATATCGACCCTCAAATCTTATGATTTACGAGTCAAATCTTACGATTCAATTTATTCATACGTAAGTCGATTTAAATGCTAAAAGAAATCTTAAATATCAACAAATCGATCACATTTTATGATTTACGATTTAAGAAAACTTTAATTTATTATAATATTTATAATAAACTTGGGATGATTACTGTTTGGATCCCTATATTATACACCATTTTTAATTTTGGTCCTTAAACCGGAAATGCCCCCAAGTAGAGGTCAATTAGTAATTTATGGAAATCCACCTCCCTTGCTAAAACATTTCTGACAATTGCAGAATCACCCCTATACTTACTTCATCTTCATAGCCGCTACACCCAAATGCAAATTTGACA